TTAACAAAAAAAATTATGGGGCCTAGCAAAGTAAGCGTAGTGGCTAAAGTCTTTGTGTTGCACACACTAGAATCCCAAATGGTCGCTGGTTCTAATCCTGGTCGCTCCACTTCCTGTCCCCCCCACTTGGCCTGCTTGTGGCCTGGGAAAGCAGTCAAGGATGGCTCAAAGCCTTGGGACCTTGCACCTGTGTGGGAGAGCTGAAAAAAAGCTCCTGGCTTTGGTTTTGGATTGGCTCAGCTCTAGTTGTTACGGCCACTTGGAAAGTGAATAGCAGATGGAACATCTTTGTCACTCCTTCTCTCTGTAAATCTGACTTTCCAATAAAAATAATATAAATCTGAATAAATAAATAAATAAATTAATTAAAATGTAACAGTACCAAGAAAATCAAGGTCCAGGCTTGTGTTGTAGTAGTTAAATGTCACATAAGATTCCCTCATCCCATAGCGGAGTGTCAGCTCAGATCTTGGGCCTGGTTTTCTGCACCTGGGCACCCTGGGAGGCAGCAGCCTTTGGCTTGAACAGTTGGGCCTCTCAAGTTTCTGTGATTCACTGTGTTTCTCTGCCTTTCAATAAATTAAAATACTTAGCTAAGGGAATGAAGTGTCCTTGCTAACCTGGTCATCCCTGTCAGCTCTCGATGTATGTCTCCCGGCGCTGCTTCCATAATTCTCAGTTCATGTGTTTCTAATATGCCCTGGTGATTTCTATTGTAGATCAACATTTGCTGTCACACTGTGTCTCTTTCCTTTCACTGTCTTCCCAGTGTAACTAGAGGTCACAGTTATCAAACCCTTTTTGCTAAAGATTTATTTATTTTTATTGGAAAGTCAGATATAAACAGAGAGGAAGAGAGACATAGAATAAGATCTTTTTTTAATATTTATTTATTTTTATTACAAAGTCAGATATACAGAGAGGAGGAGAGACAGAGAGGAAGATTTTCAGTCCAATGATTCCCTCCCCAGGTGAGTGCAACGACTGGAGCTGCGCCGATCCAAAGCCCGGAGCCCAGATCTTCCATCTTCTATCAACTTGTTCATTCCCCAAACGTTTGTAATAACCATGGCTAGAAGCAACACCTCTGGCTCTCCCACATAGGTGACAGAAGAGCTAGGATTCCAACTGGTCCGTTGATGTGTAAAAGGGAATCCCATGTGGCAGCTTCACCTGCTGTACCACATCCCCCCGCTCACCCAGAGACCATAGTTTGCTGTCTCTTCTCTTAGAGTCATCCTTTCATTTTCTTAATTTTCTTACCATGTAATGTTTTGTATTATGAGAAATTTTTTCAACTTTCTGTTTCATTTCTAATCAAAGTTTGTGTTTTAAAGACTATGTTTTAAAAGATTTATGTATATTTATTGTAAAGTCAGATATACAGAGAGGAAGAGAGATAGAGAGGAAGATCCTCCCTGCCTGGTTCACTCCCCAAGAGGCTTCAACGGGCAGTTGCCAGAGCTTAGCTGATCCAAAGCCAGGGCCCAGGATTCCTTCTGGGTCTCCCACACTGGTGCAGAGTTTCAAGGCCTTGGGCTATCCTCCACTGCTTTCCCAGGCCACAAGCAGGGAGCTGGATGAGAAGTGGAGGAGCCAGGATATAAAACCATTGCCCATTTGGGAATCCTTGCATGTTCAAGGCAAGTTCTTTAGCCACTATGATACTGCGCTGGGCCCATTGAAGACAATTTTTGAAAGGTTTATTTATTTGGTGGGCAGAGCTAAAAGAAGGAGAAGTAGAGACAGAGCATTATTTTCCATTTTCTGGTTCACTCTCCAAATGGCTTTAGTTGTCAGAGCAGGGCCAGGCTAAATCCAGGAACTTGGAGCTTCTTCTCTGCTTTCCTCCTGGAGCCCAAGCACTTGAACCATCTTCCACTGCTTTCCCAGGTGCATTAGCAGGGAGCTGCGTGGGAAGTGAAATAGCCAGGGATGCTGTTCTTACATCGCAGCACCAAGCCTTGATGATCATTTTTAATTTCTAAGATTTTTTTTTCTGGTTTTTCTTTTTTCACAGAGTACTGTTCTTCTCTCAAATATAGGTAACACCGTCTGTTTTCTCTTTGAGGGTATTAATTGTAGTCATTAAGACGGCATTTTCTGGAGCCATTGCTGTGGCACAGTGAGTGAGGCTGCTCATTGCAGCACTGACATCCCACATTGAGTCCCATTGCATATCCAGAAGCTCTGCTTTTGTTCCAGCTCCTTATGCACCTAGGCAGGCAGTAGATAATGGTCCCTGGTCTAACGCCAGCCTTCTGGGAGGCCAGAATGGAGTTCCTGGCTCTGTCTTGAGCCTTGCCGAGATCTGGGTATTGGGGTCTTGCCTCGGTTTTTGCTATTGGCTCTTTGGGGTCATTTGAAAAATAAACAGTGGTTGAAAGTAGTCCCTCTTTGTTTCTCCCTTGCTCTGCTGCTCTGCCTTTGAAACACAGAAAGAATCAGTTCCCTCTTCCTGGCTCTTTGTTGCTTTCCCTTGTTAGTTTTTGATTGGACTCTATGTTAGGGGTGTCTTTAGTCTGGAGGTCTTTGGCTGTGGGTTTCCTGAAAGCCTCCTTGGGTGGGCCTTCAGGGAGGTGATCCTGCCGCTGTGTGTGGGCGTCCTCCAGGGCTCAGCACGTTGCCTCTGGACTGAGCACTTTGTCTAGAGCAAGGTCTTCAACTGTTTGTTGTATGGGATGTTTGTTGTATTGCTTGCTGGGATGCAAGCAAGACACATCAGGGAAAAGGGGCAAGTCACGTGTTTTCCTGCTTTGCAGGATGTAGGAGTTGAATGGGTGAATCATTTTGTCTCTCTGGGTAGCCTCCTGGGTCCTAGTTTCTCTTACTTGGCCAAGTCAGTCCAAACCTTCGGGCTCGGCATGGTGGCCTAGCAGCTAAAGTCCTCATCTTGAATGCGCCAGGATCCCATATGGGCGCCAGTTCTAATCCTGACAGCCCCACTTCCATCCAGCTCCCTGCTTATGGCCTTGGAAAGCAGTTGAGGATTCCCCAAAGCATTAGGACCCTGCACCTGCATGGGAGGCCTGGAATACATTCCTGGCTCCTGGCTTTGGATCGGCTCAGCTCCGGCCATTGCGGTCACTTGGGGAGTGAATCAACAGATGGAAGACCTTTCTCTCTGTCTCTCCTCCTCTCTCTCTATATATATCTACTTTTCCAATAGAAAAATAAAGTAAATCTTAAAAAATAAAATCCAGGGCCCGGCGCGATGGCACAGTCCTCACCTTGCATGCCCGGGATCCCATATGGGCACCGGTTCTAATCCCGGCAGCCCTGCTTCCCATTCAGCTCCCTGCCTGTGGCCTGGGAAAGCAGTCGAGGACGGCCCAAAGCTTTGGGGCCCTGCACCTGCGTGGGAGACCTGGAAGAGGCTCCTGGCTTCAGATCGGCATAGCATCGGCCGTTGCGCTCACTTGGGGAGTGAATCATTGGACGGAAGATCTTCCTCTCTGTCTCTCCTCTCTGTACATCCGCCTTTCCAATAAAAATAATAAAATAAATCTTTAAAAAAAAATAAAATCCAAACCATCGTATCTGCTTTCTGTCCTAGAATGGTTTGAAGCCGCTTTACTATCTGCTGGTGCCTTTGGCTGAATTCCAAATTGTCCTCTTATTTCTAGTGAAGCTATTGGACAGAAGCGAGTAGGCATGTGTTATCAACGCCACCAGTTTGACAGAATGTAATAAATTTATTTTAGACATAAACTCTGAACTCTCTCCCTCTTCTTCCTTCAGAGACATCAACAGAATTGCCTTTCCTGCCCATGTTTTTTTTTTTTTAAAGATTTATTTTTATTATTTTTTTATTGGAAAGGCGGATATACAGAGAGGAGAGATAGAGAGGAAGATCTTCTATCTGGTGATTCATTCCCCAAGCGGCTGCAACAGCCAGTGTTGCGCCAATCTGAAGCCAGGATCCAGGAACTTCTTCCAGGTCTCCCACGCGGGTGCAGGGTCCCAAAGCTTTGGGTCGTCCTTGACTGCTTTCCCAGGCCACAAGCAGGGATCTGGATGGGAAGTGGAGCTGCCGGGATTAGAACCGGCACCCATATATATATTATATATATAATTCCTGGTGCGTTCAAGGCGAGGACTTTCATCACTATGCTATCACGCCGGGACCAATTTTATATTATTTTTAAGATTTCTTTTATATATGTGTCAAAATTCAGAGTTACAAAGAGGAAGAGACCAAGATTTTCATCCTCTGCCTCACTCTCCACATGCCCTAACAGCCAAGACTAGGCCAGGCCAAAGCCAGGAGGGAACTAAGAGCTTCGGCTGATCTTGCGCAAGGGTATCAGGAGCCCATACGCTGGAGCTGTCTTCTGCTTGCTGTCCCAGGCCCTTAGCTGAGAGCTGCATTGGAACTGGAGCAGCCAGGGCACAAGTCAGTCAAGGGATTCTGGTTCTGCAGGCAGCACCTACCCACTTAGCCACATGCCAGCCCCCACTGCTGTTTTTCCAGGAACTGTTTGAAAGCCCTTGTATATACTTGCTAATAACAGTGATGGGGGATCATTTATTTATTTATTTAAAAGATTTATTTATTTTTATTGGAAAGTCAGATATACAGAGAAGAATATCTTCCGTTCGATGATTCACTCCCCAAGTTACCACAACAGCCGGTGCTGCGCCAATCCAGAGCCAGGAGCCAGAAACCTCTTCTGGGCCTCCCACATGAGTGCAGGGACCCAAAGCTTTGGGCCATCCTCGACTGCTTTCCCAGGCCACAAGCATGGAGCTGGATGGGAAGTGGAGCTGCCAGGATTAGAACCGACGCCCATATGGGATCTTGGCGCGTTCAGAGCGAGGACTTCTGCTGCTAGGCCACGCCGCCATGCCGGGGAATCATTTAGACTAGAGAATGTAAAGCCTGACTATCTCTTCCTGTCAGCACTTGGTTCCCCTTTATTATTGGTAGCTTTTGCACATATCCATGTCCTCTGCCCTACGTTCTGCTCATTCTGGTGTGTCTGTTTTATTTCCTTCAGGTCTCCTGGGAACCTTGAGAAGAATCGCTATGGGGATGTCCCCTGTCTGGACCAAACCAGAGTGAAGCTGACGAAACGGAGTGGCTACGCTCAGGTACACAGATGGATGGCCCATCTTTTTGGGGCCCTGAGCGGAACATAACGCCTTTCCAGAACAAGCCTGCTGACCCAGTAATGGAGGGATACGATCGAGTTCTGATTTTATTGGTTGGGGAGTTGCGGCATTCTCACCGCTAGCTTAGTCTGGCTCACTTAGCCACCATGTGTTTGTGTCAGCACAGGGCAGTTCAGGTCAGAGCTAACCCTGCTTTGCGTGTGTGTCGGGGAGCAGTGTACATGAGTGATGCCCGTGTCTAGGACAGAGAGGAGATGACCAGATGGCTGTGCTTTTCCATGGATGATCTCAATTATATCTGTACCCACAAAGGTCCTATGTTCAATACCTGAGCATTTAGCACGTTTGGACTCTTCAGGTGCATCTTTAACGTTCATGTCCTTGTCAGTACTTCAGCCAGTTTTCAAGTTATTCCACCATGGTTTTCCAGAACAAATCATGGTATGATTTCAGAAAAGTTTATCCTGTTAAGGTAACAATAGGGGGTTAGAAATTTTTCTTTCTATCTGTGTCTTGCGTATCTTCTATAACATTAGTGGTTGACTTGTTTTTTATTATATTTTTATTTTGAATTTTGAATTATGTCGTACAATTTCGTATAGGCTCGGATTTCCCCCAAATTCCCACCCCCATCAGATTTTTCCCATTTTGTTACAATAGTGTAGTCCTTCATAAGGAATCATAATTCTATCAGTCTCTTATTTGAGTGTACCCCCACATTGTTGGTATAGACAGTGTTGGACAGTCCAGCATCCCATTGTCTACATGTGTCCAACAATCTTACTGGGAATCCATCTTTCACCTGAAAACAGGGATGCATGTTCCATTATACCCCCATGTCTATATATGACAGATCCCAGTACTCCATCACTATAGATTTCCATAAGAGGAAGCCATGAAACAAGGTCAACAACTGGCATGAGTTAGAACAGCCACAACAATAACAACAAGTACAACAACAAATTAGAGCACCATGAAAAAAAAATGACCAACACATGGGTGACAAAAAGGAAACACAAAAGTCTCTTAGGAAAAATGATGCCATTGTATAATCCATGAGTCTGTGATAAATTCGACAAGAGAAAAGAAATTATTTGGAATAAACCAAACTGAAATTTAAAAAAACATCAAAACACATGGGATACAGTCAAAAAAGCAAGCAAACAAACAAAAAACGGTATGGATTGGATTATTGAAGTTACACTTTCCATGTTGATTTCCTTATATAAGAGGGAACATATAGATTTGTTCTTTCGTGATTTCAATGAGCATAATGGTCTCTAGCTGGGACCACCTGGTTGCAAATAGAATAATTTCATTCTTCTTAATAGCTGAATAATATTCCATAGAGTAGATGTACCATGGTTTCTTTAATCACTCTTTGGACGCATATCTGGATTGTTTCCATGTCTTTGCTATTGTAGATTGTGCTGCTGTAAATATAGGGTTATAGATCCCCTTCTCATAGGCAGATTTCACTTCTGTTGGGTGACTTATTGTTTTTTAAAGTCCTGTTTATAGCAGTGTGGAATTTTGGGATGAGTGACTAAGTTGGTTTTATGGTTCTTTTTTGGTTGTGCCAGCTTTCTCTGTAGATGTCTGGAATTTAGCGTCAAGTCATGGTATCGACTGAGTGTGCTGTCTAGAGTAAAGAGGTTTAAGTAGTGCTTCTTTACCATGACACATATTGTAAATGCTTGCTGTTGCCTCAGTCAGCTCTGTGTCGGGGCGTGTTTAATGCATGGGTTGGGATCCTAGGATCAGCGTCTTTGCCTCCCTGACTCTGTGGCTCAGGTGGCTGAGCCTGGAGCCTTTCCTGGGCCCTTGCAGAGGAACTTCCTGCAGGAAGAGGAGACTTGCCCAGGTCTGCTACTGAGCATGTCCACTCAGCTCTGCCAGAACTGCCTGGAGCAGTGCTCTTGCGGAGGAAGGGACCAGGCACTGGGTCTGAGATATCTGTATGTGTCTGTGGTGACAGCTGGGTATGTGACTCTTAAAGATTTGCTTTGTTTATTTTTTAAAAGATTTATTTATCTTTATTAGAAAGGCAGATCAGATTTACAGAGAGGAGAGAGAGAAAGATCTTCCATCTGCTGGTTCACTTCCCAAATGGCTGGGATGGGTGTGACCTTTGGGTTGAGATATCTAGGGGGATGACTGTGAGGTCCCAGCAGTTCTGACTGCCCTGCTGGGAAAGCATGGTATGCTGGGGAAGGGGACGATGGTGAGAGGTGTGGCTCTCCCCTTGTTTGCTTTTGGAACACTTCTGTTTTTCTCCCACCTTCCCCCATTTCCTCTTCTGTGCCCTCTGCTGTCCATGTCCACTCATGTCCACCCATGTCCACATTCGGTTTAAAGGACTGTGGCAGAGATCTTGTGCATGTGGTAAGGCAATGCGCGTACCCAAGAACCTGTGACCCTTAGGAGGTGGGAGAGGAATTGGAAAGGCAGTTAGGAGTTTACCTTTGGGCAGTGGCTTTGTGTTGCTCGTTTGGGTGGTCATGGAGTCTGGGTGTGTGGTCCATCCATTGTAGCATTGCTCTCACTATGTGGTGGGATGGATGGGATGTTCCTGATCTGCTTGGCTTGCCTCCGCTTTGGTTCTGCATATAGTCCTGCAGGTCCTAATAGACTCTGGTTTGTAAATAGTGGCTTTATATAGATGTAATCGCATGTCATCTGATTCATCCATTTGAAGTGTACAAGTCAATGGTGTTTGATGCATTAACTGAGTGGTGTAATCATTATCATCACAGTCTACCTTAGAATACAATTGGGCCAGCTTTGAGCCTAGCAGGTCAAGTCGCTGGCTGGGACTCCAGTATCTTGGATCAGAATGCTGACTCAAGTCCCTGCTTTTACACTAGCACTCTAGCTCCCTGCCAGTGTGCCTTAGGAAGCAGCAGGTGATGACTGGGGTCACCATGTGGAAGCCCCAGATGGAGTTCCTGGCTCCTGACTTCAGCCTGACCCAGCCCTGACTGTTGCAGCCGTTTGGGAAGTGAAACAGCAGAAGAAAGATCTTTCTATCTGTTAGTCTCTCTATCCCTTCCTCAGCCCTCTTCCTACCAGCCTGCCCTTTAAATAGATGAATAAATAATCTAAAAATATTTTTATCGTCTCCCAGAACCCCTACCTTTGGCATTCATTCCCCCTCTCTCTAACCTACCACATCTGTATTCTGCCTTGATGGACTTGCCTGTTCTAGACAATCTGTGTAAATGGAGTCACGTGAATGGTGACCTTTGGTGTCTTAGAACACAGTGCCTTCCAGGCTCTCTGTGTGTAGCGGATGTCAACACCTCATCCCTTTTATTTCCCAGGAACGTCTCCTTGTGATCGTACACTACATGTTACTCATTTCTCATTGGAGGCACTTGGAGTTATTTGTATTTCTCAAACAAGTGTCTAAATTTTGAGTAGTCCTGTTTTGTCATTTCTCTTTTCAATTTTTTTCTTTCTAAAGATTTATTTATTTTTATTGTAAAGGCTGATACACAGAGAGAAGGAGAGACAGAGAGATAGATCTTCTGTCCACTGGTTCACTCCCCAAGTGGCTGCAGTGGCCAGAGCGAGCTGATCTAAAACCAGGAGCCAGGAGCTTCTTCCAGGTCCCCCACACAGGTACAGGGTCTCAAGACTTTGGACCATTCTCTGCTGCTTTCCCAGGCCATAGGTAGGGAGCTGGATGGGAAGTGGAGCAACCAGATACGAACTGGCACCCATATGAGATCTCAGTAGATGCAAGGCGTGAATTTCAGCCACCAGGCTATATACTGTGCCTTTTTTTTTTTCTTTTAAAGATCCATAGATCTGTTTTTTTTTTTTATTGGAGAGGCAAATCATATCTACATAGAAGAGAGACAAAAAGATCCCCCATTTGCTGGTTAACTCCTCAAATGGCCACAGTCATCGGAGTAGAGTTGGTCTGAAGCCAGGAGCTTCTTCCAAGTCTCCCACGTGGGTACACGGTCCCAAGGCTTTGGGCTGTCCTCTGCTGCTTTCCCAGGCCACAAGCAAGGATTGGAAGTGGAGCAGCTGGGACATGAAGCAGCACCCATGTGGCATCCCAGTGCTTGTAAGGCGAGGATCCATCCATTGAGCCATTCCCCTGTGCCCATTGTCCATTTCCTTAGAGGTGAACTCTCTAGATCACTTGGTAACCCCATTTACTCTTATGAGGAGCTGTGGGATTACCTGTTGTGTCTTCAGTAGCAGCATCTGGCGACTGCAATTTCCACATGTCCTTTCAATACCTGATTACAAAGACGGGCTTCTTTTTTTTTTTCCCTAGGCATTTTAAAGTTTTAATCTGTACAGTAGAGGTGTGTATTGACTCAGCCCGGTCTGTTGAAATGAGGGATGTGAATTGGTTTTTTTCGTTTCTCAGTGTCTGCCTAATGAGCATATTCATTCCCTGAGTTGTATGTACCTATCACAGCACATATACAACCCCACATGGGCTGTTGCGTGCAGCTGCAGTAATGTCTCCTTCTTGTCATTAGACAGATTACATCAATGCCAGTTTCATGGATGGCTATAAGCAGAAGAATGCTTACATCGGCACCCAAGGTAAGCTGGTCAAGCTCTCACACTTGGTTTGGTTCCGGGTGATGGCATCACTGTTCCAGGGAATGGTAACTGGAGTTGACGCAGCGACCGCCAGGTCCTGGGTTCCATAAGACTGCAAGTGGTTAAGGAAGTCAGACAAGAAGTACAGCGCTTCTCTTCAACCTCACCAGGCCTGTGGCCTGCTCTGCATTTCCAGTAGAGGTCAAGAAGGGCAGTGGTACTTGATGGAGGTTGCTTCTGATATAGGACTGAATAGTGCTGTCCTCAGAGAACGTCACTGGTCCCTGTACCGTCACAGAGCACTCTGGCAAGTGTGCTGACGTGGCCAGGCTGGGCTTAGTCAGACAGTTCCTGCTGGGCTTCAGATGGAGTGTCTGTAAATGCTCCAGGTGCCTTTGTGCATCTGAGAATACCAAGCTGGCTCCAAGGAAGGTGGGAAGAAAATTGGCACACGAATACAACATCAGCCACTACCACATGCATTTGCAGAGTATGGCCTCTGAGGAATCTGCAAGAGGTGGTGGGTGTTGGTACAGCATTAAGACACTGCTTCACAGGAGGGGGCAGTGTTGTGACACAGCTGTTCAAGTCACTGGGCACCATCCTATATGGCAGTATCCCATGTAAACACTGGTTTGGGTCCTAACTGCTCCACTTCTAATCCAGCTTCTTGCTAATACCTGAGAAATCAGCAGAAGATGACGCAAGTGCTTCTTGAAAGAACACTTAAGGTCTATCTTATTTATTTATTTATTTATTTTTTAAAAAGCAGAGATGAAGAGTCTCCATCTACTATTTCACTCCAAAAAAAGCTTGCTTTGGCTGGAGCTGGGATTCTGGCCAAGGCCAGGCCTGGTGTTGAATCCAAGCCAAGAACCTGGCCAAAGCCAGGACCCTGGAGCTCTGTCTGGGTCTCTTATGTAAGTGGTAGGATCCTAATACCTGGACAGTTTTCCACTGCCTTTTCCGGCATATTGGCAGGAACTCAGTTGGAAGCAAAGCACTCTGATACAGACTGCTTAAGCTGCTGCAATGCAACTTCATCACTGTTTTTGTTTAATGATACATTTTTTAAAAGATTTATTTATTTTTATCACAAAGTCAGATATACAGAGAGGAGTAGAGACAGAGAGGAAGATCTTCCGTCTGATGATTCACTCCCCACGTGACTGCAACGGCTGATGCTGCACTGATCCAAAGTCAGGAGCCAGGAACCTCTTCTGGATCTCACATGTGGGTGCAGCGTCCCTCGCCTGCTTCCCAGGCCACAAGCAGGGAGGAAGATGGAAAGTGGAGCTGCTGGGATTAGAACCAGCTCCCATATGGGATTCCGGCGTGCTCAAGATGAGTACTTCAGCCACTAGGCGACCGCGCTGGGTTTAATGATATCTTGTGAATAATTTCCTATAGCAAAATAGCTGATATCACAGCATTGTTTGTATAGAATGCATAAATTATGGTTAGCCCAAATTTTACCCTGTCTTATTGGAGATTTAGCTCATCGCCAAGATTTCCCACTTTGGGCAGTAGCCATCTCTGCAAAGAGAGACTTCTAGAGCCTAAGATACGGTAGCAAAACCATGGTGGAACAGTAACCATCCAGGCCCTTTGACACTGTTCTGCTTCCCAGGAAGTGGGGGAGGAGAAAACACTGGCAAAGTATAAGGAATTGTCCTGAGCTGTTTGTTACGGTCTTCGCTGAAAGGGAGTTGGTGGCCCATGAGTCTCTTCAACATTCTTGCTGAGTGGTTAGTTAGCACGTGGCATGTTCTGTGCTGATCCAAAGCCAGAAGTCTGGACCTTCTTCCGGGTCTCCCACATGGGTGCAGGATCCTAAGGCTTTGGGCCATCCTTGACTGCTTTTCCAGGCCACAAGCAGGGAGCTGGATGGAAAGTGGACCATCCGGGATTCCATGTGGAATCCCCGCACATACAAGGCGAGGACTTTAGCCATTAGGCAACCATTCTGGGTCCTAAAAGTAAATGTTTTAAAGGAATATTTTACTTATCTGAAAGATACAGTAGGAAAAACAGAAAGAGGCGTTCCATCTACTGGTATACTCCCCAAATGGCCACAATAGCTGCGGCTGGGTCAGTCCAAAGCCTGGAAGCAGGAGCTTCATTTGTGTCTCCCATGTGGGCCCAGGAACCCAAAGACTTATGCCATCCTCTGTTGCTTTCCCTGGCACTAAAACAGGGAGCTGGATCATAGGTGAAGCAGCTAGGACAAGACCTGGTATCCATGTGTAATGTGGATGCTACAGGTGGCAGCTAAGCTTGCCATCTACAACACCATCCTCAAAAACAAAGAAATTTGAAAAAAAAATTGTAAGGCATAATGATAACTCCTTGCAGAGGTATCTCTGTCTCTCTCTGTAATTGCCTTTCAAGTAAATAGATAAATCTTAAAAAACTAATGAAAAAGATGGAGTGATACAAGAATGAGAAGTTACCAGCGCTACTTTTGAATGAAGAGGCAGATTGCAAGCATGAAGGCTCAGAGCGGATGGGACTCAGGAGGGTGACAGTGTGGCCACGCCAGTGATTGCAAGTGGGAATTTTGGTGAGAGGAAAATAGCTGGAGATGTGTGCCTGATTGACACTGTCAGCTTGGCGTGACCACAGCTGCAGTTCTGGGAGGTGTGTGGCAGCGCCCCCCCAGACCTAGTGTGCCTGCCTCACATTTAGGGGACATTTCAGTACTTCCTAGGGTTAGCAGGTGTGTAGTGAGAGGAGCAGTGGTAGCTGACATCTGTGCTTTGTCCTGGACCAACAGCCCTTGCATTCTACTCTCATGTCAGGTCCTTTGGAGAATACGTACCGGGATTTCTGGCTCATGGTCTGGGAGCAGAAGGTCCTGGTGATTGTCATGACCACCCGGTGAGTGGATTTTGCCCATGCTCAGCCCAACCCCAAGCCTGAGAAATTATAGAGGACGTTTTGCTCTCGGAGGCCCCGAGTAGTAGGAGAGCTGAGACAGACCCTGACCCACCCTGTCTTCCTCTCAGCTGACCCTGGGTTAACCTGGGCAGAGGACAGTGGGCATTGATGGGACTCACCTGACAAAGCTTGAATGCCTGGACTGAGAGCCTGGCCTTACCCTCTCAGGGAGGAGCTGGTGGGGCAACCCTCACCCAGAGATGGACTTCAAGATCATGGAGAGTTTCATGTTGGGGACACTCGATAGGTAAAGTCTAGGCAATTATTCCAGAACTTGGAACCTCTGCCGTCTGACACTGCTGTTCCCAGTGTTTTAGGTAAGGGGCTTCCCTGGTGCTTGGCAGCATAGCAGCTCACTGTGGGTCTGCTCTGTTTCTTATTAGGAGCCATCTTCCTGACTCCTTTGCCTACCAGTGGTGTGACCTTTGACCCCTCTTCTGCACGAATGTGTTTCCTTCTATTGGGGAATTGTAAGAAGGGGAGAAATATCTTGAGTGGGGCAGGACTCTCTCAATAGGGAAAAGCTGAAAGGTGTTACCCACCCATTAGCATTATTATCACAACATTAATTGTAACCTGTTTTAAAAGAGGGCACAAAATAAATAAGAAGGTACACTTTGCTCCCTCCTCAGGGCATGTGCTTCGAGCATTGTGGACCACTAACAAGTGTAGGGTGGTCTCTAGGCCTCATGCAAACCCGCCTACCCCCCCAGCCCCACCCACTGCATCTTCAGATATGGGCTTTTCCCACTCCTCAACCTAGGGAGGAGGAGGAGCACTGGCTGAGGCCCAGGCTAGAAAGTTCTCTCTGACCTGCCCTGTTTTCCCTATACTCTGTCCACCCCTGTTCCTCCCAGATAACATGAGAAGGAGTGTGAGGTGTCAGGGAAGGGGGTGCAGCAGATGCTGCGTCTGTGAACACACAACCATGGTGGTGGATGAGCGCCCAGTCGATGGGCTATGTGACCAGGAAGGGGTGCAGTGGGTGCTGTGTCTGCGAGTACACAGCCATGTTGGTAGGTGAGCGCTCAATTGATGGGCTCTGTGAGCACATGCACAGACCTTCCCTGCTGCTTCCATGCTGCCGAGGACCTTGGGGCTCCTCAGAAGCCACAGGAGATGGCGCTGTGTCAGGAGTCCCACAGGGAACAGGAATCCCGCTGTGCAGAGGAAAGGTGGCAGGCTGACCTCTCTCCCTGTGTCCTCAGCTTCGAAGAAGGCGGCAGGAGAAAGTGTGGCCAATACTGGCCTTTAGAAAAAGACTCTCGGGTCCGATTTGGCTTCCTCACCGTGACCAACCTAGGCGTGGAGAACATGAACCATTATAAGAAAACAACGCTAGAAATTCATAACACAGAGGTAAGGCATGGTTTTGCTTTATCATTCAAATAATAATAATTTAAAAAAAAGTTTCTTGTTTAGTTAGTTTATCCCTAAATGCTTGTAGTAAAGTAGCTGGGATTAGGCCAAAGTCAGGAGCTGGGGAACCCAACCAGTATCGCCTGAGGGTGGCAGGGACACACCTGCTGCCTCCTGAGCTCTGTGTTAATAGAAGCTGCAGTAGGGAGCCAGAGGCAGGCTCGACCCCGACACTGATGTGGGACATTGGCATTTTAACTAGCATCCTAATTACTGGGTCAGGTGCCTGTCCCCTCCTCACCTTTTCTTTCCTTCTTTTTTTTATTTTAAAGATTTGTTCCCCTCCTCACCTTTTTGAAGCTGGGGGAGAAAGTTTATAGTAACGAAAATCTTCCAAGGAGGCAGACAGGATGACAGCAGGGCTGTGGGTTGTCTGTTCATCAGGGAATGGGGTGAAGTTTGGCATTGCACAGCCAGATCATCTTGACAACAGTCGTGCATGCATGGTGTTCTGTGAGGGCTGACTTCCAGTGTACAGAAAGCCCACTAATGGCACACCGTTAAACCTCCTTTGGGTTTGTGGCAGAAGGCAGTCGTGAGGGGACCGTGAGAGGGAGCTGGGAGCCTCAGTGGCCAGGTTCATAGGACGCTGAGCCTCTGGCACTAGTGGCTCCTTAATATTCACCTGCTTTCACCCCAGGAGCGGCAGAAACGCCAGGTAACCCACTTCCAGTTCCTGAGCTGGCCAGATTATGGCGTCCCTTCCTCAGCAGCTTCCCTCATCGACTTCCTGAGAGTGGTCCGAAGCCAACAGAGCCTGGCCGTCAGCAGCATGGGCGCGCGCTCCAGAGGCCAGTGCCCTGAGCCACCCATTGTGGTCCACTGCAGTGCGGGCATTGGCAGGACAGGTAAGGCTGCAGACGGCACTCCTGAGGGAGCGACAGGGAAGTGCCTCAGCTGTGGTGGCCATGGGAGGAGGAACCCGTACAAGGCCCTGTGCTTTTGATATCCCCCAAATCTGCCAGGGTGTGCTCACCCCAGCCATGGGCTCTGGAGGCTGATGCTTGATCGATCCAATCAGTGCCATTCTCTGCTGGCCCTGCCACCTTGTCCTCGGTGTCACAGAGGGGTCCCAGCAGCACCCAGCTAGGCTGCTGCCTGCTCCCCACATGGCTGCATTCGGCCTTCTGCAGTCACTGAGCTCAGGGCAGGTGTACACAGGCACTGTTGGTCCATCTAACCCAAGGGCCCCTCAGGGAGACGGTAGAACATTTCTAGTGGGTTCAGGCCTCCGTGGAGGTGTGGCACCTCTGGAAGTTGGGTGTGGGAGTGCTGCCAGTCAGTCCTCCCTCCCTCTTGCTGTTGTCCCTGTGTTTGTCCTGGGAGAGGCCACATTTCTCCAGTCCTCAGCACTCCTGGGACCCCTTCCTCAGGGGCCCCTGAGTTGGTTCATCCAGTCCTGCCTGGGTGTGCTGGGAGAGGGGAGAGCATGGAGAGCATGGAGAGCAAGGCAGCCGTGACTGCTGCTTGTCTTCCTCAGGTACCTTCTGCTCACTGGACATTTGCCTGGCACAGCTGGAGGAGCTCGGCACCCTTAATGTGTTCCAGACGGTGTCACGCATGAGGACCCAGCGCGCCTTCAGCATCCAGACCCCTGAGCAGTACTATTTTTGCTACAAGGCCATCCTGGAATTTGCAGAGAAGGAGGGCATGGTGCCCTCTGGCCACAGCCTACTGCCCATGGAGGGCCAGTAACTGTCCCCGGGCCAGTCCCTGCTGGACGGCCTTCCTTACCCTGCTACCCTGGATGTCACTGAGTCTGTGGGCTGCTGTTGGTGGACCTGCCGAAGCCATGGATCCTCCTCTTCGTCGTGTCTCCCAGGCCCGTGTGCACGCAGGCAGCCCTTCCCTTTGGCTGGGTCCCCGTGGTGGAGCTGCCCCGCGCAAGGGCTGGCAGCCATGTGTTCTCCACTTCCTAACACCTGCTCTCGAACTGTGCCTTATGAAAACCCAACTGTGGCTATTGAGTTTTGCCAGGGGCCCCGAGGTAAGTGGGAAGGAGTGAGCCCCTCTTTCCTGTTGCCATTCTTTTGGGGGTCTCCCTTCTCCCACTCCTTCCCATGCCTGGGGTCTGTTGGTGTGGTGAGCAGCCGCTGCCTTCCTCCCTGGAGAACCTGACTGAGTTCCATGTTCTAGAGGTTGTCCTGAGTGCCAAGCATGTGTGTACGTCGGGCGCGTATCCCGGTCCTCCCTGCCGTCGTGTGTGTGCGCGTGGATGTGCGCTTCTGTGTATGGGTCCACATGGACGAGTGTATATACTATCTATTGTATGTGACACTATGGGCATATTCTATAAATACATATACACACACATACTCCTTTGTAGAAGTTCCTGCGGCTCTGGGTTGCAGTTCAGACCCACTTCTTAGACCCTGGACTAGCTGGGGCTCAGGGTCAGCCTCCTGCCATCAGAGCACTAGGTGGGGGGAGGGTACACCCATTCTCTGTGCCCCTGCCGCAGGCCTCCTCCTGCAGTAACGCTGCCCCTTCCCCTGGATGCTGCCCCGTGGGGTCACAAGTCCTGGTTTGTGGTGACACTGGTTGAATTCAGCATGGATCACCCTTAGCTAATGATTGTTCTGTTTACTTTGCCAATTTGGGGAACAGACCTCCACTGTGAGTCCAGACCCTTTCCCCTCCCTGCCGTGGGCTTGGGGAGGCTATGAGCAAGCCGGGGCAGAGCGGGGTCAATGAGCAGCCAGAGCCAAATGCAATCGGTACGAAGTCTTCGGAAGGAAAGCAGGGAAGCCCTGCTGTGAAAGCGGAGACTGCTGGGAGCATGTCTCCCCGCGAGGACGGGCTGGGCCCTATGTCCTCTTGTCCTTCCGCAGCTTGGCCCTGCTACCCACCAAGATGCCCATCTGCCTCTGGCCATGTGCCAATGACAAGCTGCACCCCCTGGCTGGGTGATGGGGTACCTGTGATCACAGTTTGCCCTTCTCCACCCACCATGACCCTGCCTGCTCCTGGCCTGTTGTGCCAGGGACAGAATCAAACACCCCAGCATTCCACATTCCCAAGAGCATCCTGGGAACCCCTAAACCTCCTTACCCCTGTCAGAAGATGAGGTTGGCAGCTCATCAGACCTCGATAACTTTATACTGTAATAAGCTCTTTGAATGTGTATATTCTTATTTTTTACAATCATTTCATTTTGTATTTAACATCAATGGACTGAGTCAGATTCTGAAGATAATTGTAATGTTCAATATCTTACAGCGATACAGTTTTGTATTTACATATAAATATATCAACATGATCAAACCCTTTTAGCTTCATCAGTTTTCACAGTCGGGTCGGGAAGGTGAGAAATGGGTCCAGGAGCTGGCCTGGGTGGGGTCGGGAGGAAAAGAGGGGCCAAGGCACCTGCCTGTGCCAGTGTTCTGAGAGCCGCCCAGCTGCTTGGAAGGCCACACACAGCCCTCGTTTTGGACACAGGGACCCACATGGTTGAGGTCTGGCCAAGCGTCGAGCTCTGTCTATACAGTACCTTCTCCCGAGCACTTCAGGCAGACCCCACCACAAGCCCACCCAGCCGACATGCTTCACCTCCTATTCCCTCTGCCCTTGTCCCATTTTTGGACAGATGGGGAAGGTGTGGTCCAGTTCTGTCACTCGTGCCATTTCATGACAAAGCATGGGCCTGTCTGCCATTTTAGACTTGGAGACCGTGCATCAGCTTTGCCTAACCCCCTTCTCAGCCTGCAAACAGTTGGTCCTTTCCAAGCAGCTGATCTGACCCAGGGGGCTCTGCTCAGGTAGGGGCCCCAGGTCTACAGCCTGTCAACCATATGGGTGCCCCAGGCTTTGGGGAAGAGCTTGAATCCTTGCATCTCAGAGGGACCCAGAAGCCTGTGTCTCCACAGGAACACACCCACTCTGTGGAGCTGTTCCTGGCTGCCTGGTGGAACAGTTCTGGCCTGGACAGTATACAAACATTGGGGTGTTCTGGGCAACCACAAGGGCAGCGTGCACTTGTCAGGGGTCGCTCTGCTCTGGACCCAAGGCTGTTAGAGTCCTTTCAGGTCAGCTTCATGGGCCGCCGCCTTCCCCCCACCTCCACTCCAACATAGGTACTGCCAGCGGATGGAAAGCAGGTGCATGGCAAAGTGGATTTGTCCCAGCCAGGAAGCTGGGCTCCCAAGGACTGGCTCTGGCACTCAGACTGGCTTTCCTCCAAGGATCCACCTCCCAGCAGGCTGCCGAGCTTTTGAGAGCTGAGGTTCCCAGCTCCGCCGAGCTTTCCTGGGGGTGGGTAAACCTGAAAGGTGAAGAGAGGTTTTCAGGGCTCTGAGAAGACATGGATAGGAGTGCAATCTCCAGGGTGATTAAAGCTCAGAGGTGTTGGGGAGCCGACTTCAGCCTGTCAGTTACGTTAAGGGGCTGTGGCTCAACTTCCCTGTAAGTGTGGAGTCAGGAGCAAGCTCCTGGCTGCAGTTGCCTGGGCCCATCACACGGGCAGCTGGGGAGCAGAGTGGACCAGGTCTGGGAACTACTGCCTGGGCTCTGGGGGAGAAGTAACAATATATGTCTCCTGAATCTTCCTTAAGTAAATCCAGAAAGGAAGGGATTGGTAGCTTTCCCCCACTGCTGTTGGTTGCTCTTACCACGTGTGAGCCCATGTGGGCCAGGAAGCAGGAGAAGCCACAGCAAGCTCAGCAAGTCACAGGGTCCTCACACTGGAGGGAGTACCCAAGGCAGAGGAAGAGGCTGGCAGCTCTGATATCCCCCACCATCCTACCCCTTCCCAGTTGTGAAGGACTCTGACATCCCCAGCCTGGGAGTCCCCCAACTGTCAGTCTCCACCCAGCAGGGCAGGACTGTCCTTGGGGGGCTGGACTGGACTGCCCTGTGGTCAGAGGGTGATGAGACCCCTGCCCACCAAAGGCTTGCTACTCTTGGTGTGTAGGGACAAGCAGCTACAGGAACGGCTGTTCTTGGTGGCTTGGGGGTCTTCTCACTTGACCCAGCCCTGGTCCTCATGGGGACCTATAAACAAAGAGGCTGCACTACTCTTGCGGGGGGATCCTCCAAGCCTTGGGGTGGTTCATTCACTGGGTGCACACACCCTCTCGAACGGCCTCTCAGGCTCTCGCTCCTGGCTGGCTCCTCTCCCTGGTCCACATCCCGGTTTTTACTTGTTTGCAGTCTGTTCTTCCAAGCTGCTGCCACTTTGTTATGCTCTGTCAGTTCTCTTCCCACTCCCGCTCCCCAGGGACGGGAAGCAGAGCTGGTCTCCTCTGTCATCTCCGACCAACTCCTAGGCCTTAGATGCTGGGAGGCATAAGCAGGAGCCAGGGGCCCAGAGCTCACAGCTTACGTCTTAGATGGGTCTCAGGCCATGAATGCTGCCCACCAGCTACTGGTAGTTTACTAAGAAGCTTCCACTGCTTGGAAACCAACTTCCTGTTGCGATACAATCTGCATACAGAAACCAGTATTCTGCTGAGCCCTGTGCAGCAGAGTCCCCCTCTGCTTCATCTCTAGATCCCCAGGAGAACCCTTCCCAGTTGAACTGGCTCTACACAGTGTAGTCCTCAGTGCCCATGGCTAAGTCTGTGGTGGACCAAGCTCACTGAGCTAGAATCCTAGCCAGGGGGCTGGGTGGAGCAGGAGTGGTGCTGTCTTCAACAGTTGATTGGTTCCCAGCGGCTGTCAAGACCATGCTAGCCGGAGCAGGAGAGCAAGCCAGTGAGATGCAGAAAGAGAAGGGAGTCGGAGGAGCACCTCCCAGCCCCACGGCAAAATCTGGTCCGAGCAGCAGCTCACCCCACTGGCCTTTGCATCCCCTGTAGTCTTTGTTGACCTGTCCTTGCCATCCACTGCCACCTTTGCTGAGAGTCCCAGAAGAAGTCCTGGGTGTGACATTCAGGGCACACACTGCCCATGTCACTGGGCAGTTTTGATGAGATAGAAGTGATGGGACTTGGTCATTGGTGAGGTCAGAAAAAAGGAAGGACAACCCTAGACTGGTTGAAGGAGGAGCAGTCCCCCGTAGGCACCAACTGGCTGGCAGCAGCAATGGAGGATGAGGCCGGGTGGCAGAGAGGTGGGCAGTGGCTGGAGTGAGTAAATGCAGGCTGGGGAAGTGGTTCCACCAGATCTTGGCGAGTGATCAGGGAGCAGGTGTGCCTAAGGAGTGAAGGGAAGTACTCAGGGTGTCCCCACTTCCTCCAAAACAAGGCCCACCTTTCTGTAAGAGCCACCAGACAGCTGGCACACAGGCACAAACGCTCGGAAAACACAGCTGGATAAGCTGACACATCAACTGGGACATGCCAGGCTAATGTTTCTCCCGTGTTTTCCTTTCTTAAAAAAATAAATAAAAACTTGGGCCCAGCACAGTAGCCTAGTGGCTAAAGTCCTCACCTTTCACGCACTGAGATCCCATATGGGCGCTGTTTCTGATCCTGGCAGCCCCACTTCCCATCCAGCTCCCTGCTTGTGGCCTGGGAAAGCAGTCGAGGGCGGCCCAAAGCCTTGGGACCCTGCACCCATGTGGGTGATCTGGAAGAAGCTCCTGGCTCCTGGGTTTGGATCGGCTCAGCTCCAGCCATTGTGGTCACTTGGGGAGTGAAATCAGTGGACAGAAGTTTTTCCTCGCTGTCTCTCCTCCTATCTGTAAATCTGACTTTCAAAAAAAAAAAAAAAACAAAAAAACAATCAAACAGCCGGGTAAGCTGAACCATTTGACTGGGACATGCCAGGTTTCACTTTCTCCCATCTTTGTTTTACTTTCTTAAAAAAATAAAAATAAAAACTCAACACTTTCTTCTACTTGAAAGGCAGAGTGAAAGAAAAGGTGTGGAGACTCATCTTTCCTTTGCCAGTTCATTTGCCAGTTCACTCCCCAAAACATCCACAACAACTGGGGCCCAGCCCAAGCCGGGAGCCCAGAACCCCAACCAGGTCACCCCTGAGTGCAGCAAAGGCCTAAGTGTTGGGGCCCTCTTGCCCACCTCCCAGGAATTGCGTGAGCAGCTCCAATTAGTAGCCAGGACTCAACCCAGTACATATGGAACGGCACAGGTTGCAAGTGGCAGTACAACCCACTGAACCACAACGTTGGTCCCAAGGGTATCAGCCTTTAAGCCTACTCAAGAAAAATGTTAAGCCCCACAAATTGGAAGCCATGGGGTCTATACCACCTAGGTCAGCTGGTTGCCACAGCGAGAAGAGATGGAGGATGGTAAGAATTCTTGGCTGCGAGCCGGGGACACAGACTCCAAGGTCCACAGTAGCCCAGAGGGATGGCAGAGGTGCAAACAGGAGTTATTCATCCCCCTGAAAAATGCCGAATGAACAGGGATTCTGGCCCGGAACCTGAGCTCTTGCTGTGGCTGGAGTGGGGCTCTGGCCTCGGCTTCCCTTCACCTGGGGATTGCTAAGCTACCTGTCCCCTGCTTAACCTTACATCAAAGTTCCTGAAGGACAAACTCCAAGTGTCACCCCAGCACTACCGACTGCCTAGAGCACGGCAGGGAGGGAGGGTGTGTGATGCCATGAGTGACATGGGCACCAGTGCTGTGAGTTGAGGATGCAGCCATATGCGTGGCTGGGAACAAGGGCTTGTGAAAGAGGGTCAGCCATCACACAGGAATTGCCGAGAAGGACGGGGCCAGAGGAGTGCAGACAGAGTTCAGGATTTGACCTTCCCACCGCTTGAGCCCAGATCATCTACCAGTGAGGAGGACGAGCAGGGCAGCCTCCGGGACGCAGAGCCGGTCTCCCCAGGGGTCCTCTTCCAGGACGGTCCTCTTGCAGACCCACTGGGGTCCAACATGTTCAGTCAGTGCTGGGGTGGAGTGGGTCAGGTGCGGCTAGAGGAAGCATCCAGTGCTGTGCCCTATAGTGACAGTACAGTGACACGGGGGGTGGGGGGGCCTTGCCGGAAACCCCGGGGGTTCAGCAGCCGTCCCAGGGGAGTTCAGTCTGGGTGCCAGGGGTCTCCCTAACACTGCAGAGGGGAGTGAGCAGCGAGAGTACCTGTTGTAGCTGTGGTGCCCCTGTGAGTGACCCCCCGCCCCCATAGCACACACCACTTACTACCCAGGGGCACATTCAAACACTCAACCTTGTCCCCATGGTGCGGGGAGGGCGGTGCTCACCAGGACACAAGGTACAACCAGCCGCGCCCTCTCCCACCAGGAGACTATCTCCCACTGATGGAAGAAGCTTTTGATACAAGAAGACGTGGTCCCCTGGTGCCCTGGCTCCCCACAGAACACACAGAGTTCCCCTTCTGCACCCTAACCCTCAGGGATTCCATCAGCTGCATGCAATACTCCCACCGTGCTCTGCGCGCTCCACTTGCGCTGGCCAGTCAACTCAGGCCTGTGTCCGCCCATCCACCCTCCTTCTAGGCAGCCTTTCCAAGTTGCTGACAGCCCCATCTGGCTACTTGCTTAGAGGGAGGTTGGGAGCTGGCTAAAGCCCTTGGTGCTGGCCATGCCCAGATCTCACAGCCTCTGCCTTGGGTCTTTCTCAAACACCGCTTTCCTTCTGTCTCTTCCCAGCTGGCACTGTGCTGCTCTGGTGTCTCCTACCTGAATGGTCTCCTACCTGACCCACCCCACCCCTGGCCTCCCTTCCTTCCCTCCTGGCCAGCTGGGTTCTGTTGACAAAGGCCCTGTTAACCCCCTCTCCCCTACCAACCCCTTTAGGTTGGTTGTGGTGCTGGACACAGCCAAGGAGTACAGGGCAGAATCTAAAGGGTTGCCAAGTGGGGGGAAGGCTTTCTGACAAAAGTCTTCTTTCCCCTGGCTGCCCCATATCTCTGTAGTCATGAAAAACAGCAGGCCAGCCTGGGCTTCCTCTCCCCCAGAACCGACCGGCTGCTGGGACGCCCAAAATCTGCCAACATGCCTGTCCGAGCAGGACCCTGACCGCTGGCTGGCACCTGCTTTCCAATCCGGACAAGAAAGGTTCCCACAGTCTGGGTCTATCTCTGCCATCCCGATTTCCACTACTCTCCAGGCCGCAGGTTTCCCATCTGTTCTTTTGCTACCCCACACCCTACTCTCCTGAAACCACCCTAAGGACGCACCTGGAGCACCCCCTCCTCCCTGCTAGCTTACCTGCAGCTGCCAGGGGCCTCCCTTCCGGGAGCGCATGTGGTGCCAGCCCTGTTGCGGCCCCTTCCGCAGCAATTCTTCCAACTGCCCGCGTCTCAGAAGCTACCTCGTCGCGGCTGGACATGGCCCGGGCAGCAGGTGCCAAGCCCGCGTCGCGGCGGGGAGGATGAGGGGTGAGGAGGGGAGTGGCAGGCGCGTCCAGTGCCCGCTGTCCTGGCACGCAGAGCTTCCTGCTTGCACCCCCCCTGGTTTCTAGGCGCCTAGCAGAGCCGGCCGGACATGGAGAGGGCGCACAGCCGGGAGAGAGGCGTGTGGCCTCGCAGATCGGTCCTGTGTGTGTGTGAGTGGTCCCGCCTCAGCGTCTACACTGCGAACCCGAGTCCTGCGGAGGGCTCCCAGCAGTCCGAGGCCTGGTTGGTGTGTGCGCGCGTGAGAGAGAGACCGGGGGCCTCGGCCGCCGAGGCGCCTCCCACTCCGGGCCCGTTTAATTTATTTTGCTGTCAGGGCAGGGAGGGGGTGTTGAATGAAGGGGAAGAGGCGGGGCGGGCGCGGAGGCGGGCCCGCGCGCGTTGACGCAGACGCCGGGAGCCAATGGCGGGCGGGGGGCGTTCCCCATTCAGCACTCCTCGCCGGGCTCGGAAGGTATGTTAAACAGCTGCTTTCAATTTGGTCCCCCCCCTTCCAGACCCGTTTTTTGGGGCGGGGGGTGTCTGGCCGTGGCCCGCCCGAGGCGGCGGCGGGCGCGCGGGGACCCCGTGGCCGGGGGGCGCGGGCTGTGTGTGCGTGCGTGTGTGAGGAGGTGGGGGGTTGGGGGGCGGCTCGCAGCCCCGCGGCTGAGCGAGGCGAGGGGCCGGGCAGGCCGGAGGGCGCTCGGCGCCGCCCGCCCGCCGGTGTGGGGGGCTCCCCGGCCGGGCAGAACCGGGGCGCGGGGAGGGGACGGCCGGCCGGGGTCGCCCGAGCAGTCGGTGTCGGTAGGTTTTCGGCGGCGGAGAGGCGGAGAGGGGAGTAGGGGGGTGGGGGATGGCGAGCCGGCGGAGTCCTCCTGCTCCTCGGTACGCTTTATATTTTTAAAAGAAAAAAAAAATCAAGAGGAAAGAACCAAAAAAAAAGATGTCGGGCCACCCCGGCGCGCGCGCGGCAGGGAGCGGCGGCCGGGCCCTGTGCACCGGGAGTTGCTGCCGTGTCCGAGTTGCGAGCGAGCGAGCGAGCCGGGGCTCGCGGCTTTGCCTGCACCATCGCCCTCCGGGTCGGCGCGTCGGGGCTGCCCGCGCACGCCAACTTGAGCGAGCGGGGCCGGCGGGCGCGCTCCGGGCCCGGTTGTTAGGGACTCTGGGGGCGGGGGCAGCGGCGGACGCGCGGGGCTCTGGGGGAGGCAGAGGCTCCGGGAAGCGCTTCCCCCACCGTGCTGGCCCCCGCGGACCGCTCGGGGCTCCCCCGGACACCCCGCCGGCGCACTGGGCGCTGCGGGAGGCCTGGCGATGCAGCCCGCCTTCGGGCCCGGGACGCGGGGCTCCGGCCGGCCTGGGGAGCGGAGGGTTCCCCCGGGGAACTCGGCGCTCGGCTCCCGGGCCCCTCCTAAAGCTGTTGCCGCTCGCAAACATGGAGCTGCCTGCTTCCCCGCCCACCGCCGGGCGAGGCGGCGGCTCCTTCTCCACCGGACCCCTTCCCTCCCCAACCCGGCCGCGGCCGGCGCGAGTGCGCCAGTCCACCAGCGGGGTGCCGGTGTCCTGCAAGGGGCAGTGAAGGTCGGAAACTGGGGGGAAACTGTCCCCACGCTCGGCCTCGGGAAAAGGAAATGCATCAGCGGGCGGGGAGGGGCGCGGGGGGCGCGTCTGAGGCCGGGATGGCCGCCGCGGGCGGGAGGCGGGGCGCCGGGGCCGGCAGGGCGGCGCCGACCCGGAGGCGCGGGCCGTGGGGGGGCGCCCGGCGCGCCCCAGCCTCCGCTCCGCGGCCCCGACTGTTTACTACCTACTCGGCCGGCGGCTGGTGCACCCGGCCCGGAGGGGACCGCGGGGCGGGCCGCCTGCAGCCACCTCGGGCTCCTCCGCACGCCCCGCCTGCTCTTGTCTTTCACTGGCTGCCCGAGACTCCCTCTGCTCCTTTTCGGCGCCCGATTGGATGATATTATCCCGAGCTCCGCCTATTGGGAGGCCGGGCAGGAGTTTAAGTTGCTGGGATTTTATTTTTTTTTTTTTACCTTGGTGGAGGGCGGAGGGAGGATTCCTGCAGCTACGTGAGGCGCGAGGCCCCGCCCCTGCTGGCTGATTGGCGGGCGGCAGGCGGGTGGCTCCGCCTCCGCCGGCGGGGGCGCGCTCTGGCCTCGCGTGCGCGCGCTCCCGGCACATGTGTGGGGCCCGCCTCGCCGCTCGCGCCGGCGCTCCCGCCCGGAAGTCCCGGCTCGCGGGCGTCCTGGCTGCGGGGCGGGGGGACGTGGGAAGCACAAAGGTTCTCTCCCAAAGTGGCTTTCGGTTGGAGACGCCGGGGGGGGGGGGGAAGGCGTTGACGGAGGTGGGGATTGCACTGGGGGGCCCGTCCTCCGCACCGGGCGCCCGGTGCTGGCTCTGCGACGCTCAGCTTCCGCCCTTGTGTGACCCGGGGCGCGGAGGCTGCTGCCGTCCTGGCTGTGCCGTGTGTACGACTTGACAGGCTGGGGCCGAGGCGAAAGTGGCCCTGGCTTGGGGGTTCGGATGGCCATGTGCGGGGAGGACGAGCCCCGGCTACTGAACAGGGTCGGCCGCGGCGGGCAGGAGCACCGCGTCCTAGGGGGCCCCGCGCGCTGCGGCAAGTTTGCTTCCTTGCGCTCCGTCCTGGGGGGTGGCAGGGCGGGCCAGGCTGCTCGTGGGTGATCGCAGCCCGCCGCCCCGGCCGAAAGCTCTGGGAAGTCGGTCACCTGTTGGCCCAGCGACCTTGTGTGTGGCTCGGCTGCAGCCAGGACGCGTGGAGAGCGGGAAGTGTCTGGGCCCGCCCCCTCCCCGGTGCGCGACCCGCCGCCTAGCCCTTGTTACCCCCTACCCGCCTTCTCTCTGGAGGGGGTTTCGTAAATAAAAAGCTCTCGCGCCTCGCAAGCACTGGGTGTTGCAGAGGGGCCCGGGGACCCGCCATGTCCCCGTGCGGCTGGCGCGCACTGCACTGTTCCTCTTAGCCTGCTGGCTGCCGTGGCCTCTCCGCGGCTCCCGTCTCGGGGCTCCGGCCCGCCTTCCCGGGGAGTCGCTGGCGTGCGTCGGCCCTTGGCCGTGCAGCTGGGAGGATGGCCGCCCCGCGTCGACGGGGTGCACGGGGTGCCGGGGAAGTGAGGGCGGCCTGGGGCCCCGGAACTCGGCACTCGTCTCCAGTGTAAACATTCCACAAAAGGACTGCCGGGCTCGGCCGGGCGCGGGGCGGAATGGCCCCTTCCCCGACGGGGGCGCCGGCCAATCCGGCCGCCGGGGCGGGGCCTGTGTGGGTCCGGACGCGTTGCCCCCCGGCCGTTCCCTTCCCGGGGCGGTGGAGAACCGGGGCCGGCCTTCCGAGACGCCGAGCGGCGGAGGCGGGAGCCGGCTGCCTAGGCCTGTGGCCGAGACGGTGCGGGGCGGGCCGTGCGCGGCGCCTCCAATGGGGCGTGAGGAGCTGCCCGTCGTCCTCCAGTGGGGCTGCGCCTCGGGGGAGGGCTCCGGCTGCCCCTCTCCAATAGGCGGGGTTGAGTTAGGAAAGCTCCCCGCCAATAGGGGCGTGGAGAAGGTGAGCGGTTCCCCCTCCCTGCTCCGGCCGAGAGGGAAGGGGCGGGACGTCGGCCGGCGGGGCGCGCCGATTGGCCAGGCGTTTGACGGGCGGAGGATGCGACCTGTGGTGGGGCGAAGCCGAGTCCTCCCTCTGCTGGGCGGGCCGGGCGAGTGGGCGGGATTTCCCGGGTAACAGAGAAGCGGCCGCGGCGGTAGAGGCGGCGGAGACGGTTTCTCCATCTCCCCCTCCCCTTCCCCCTCAGAGTTTACCTCCCTCCCTCCCTCCCTCCTTCCCGGCCTGGGCGTCGCGGTCTGGGACCCCTTCGTCCGCCCAGAGCAGGCTGCCAGTCCTCCTCGGCGGGGCCTGTGCCCCGCGCCGCTCCCGGGGCCTCCTGCCGAGCCCGAGGCTCACGCCGAGAGGGACGCGCAGTGACGAGCGGTGAGAGCTCGGGCGGGAGCCGGGGCGGCGGGGCAGCGCCGGGCCGGCGGGGGAGGCTGGCCCCCGCGGCTTCCCGTAGGGCGGGCGGGCGGCGTGTGGCCGTGTGCGGGGTGGGGGCGGAGCGGGCGGCTCGGCGCGGGAGGGGGAGCGCGTCGTCCCGGTGCGCGCGGAGGGGCGGGCTCCCGGCCGCGGCTCGGAGGCGGGGCGGCGCGCGTGCGGCGGGGGAGCCGGGGGCGGGCCGCGCGGCGGGCGGGGGGCTGCCCCGGGCCCCGGTTTCCGCCGCCTCCGCTCGGGGCGGTGCTCGAGAAAGCCCGCTGTCCGGTCGAGCTGGGAGTCGGGCTCCCGGGGCCGCCCCGCCCTGGGTCCCCGCGGGTGGGCGGGACCCGCCGGGCTGGCTGGCGGCGCCTTCCGCCCGGTGGCCGAGATGGCGGGGCGACGGGCCGCCTCTCCAGGAGTCTCCGACGCGTGCAGCCCCTGTGGCCGCGGGGCGGGGCCTCCGCCGGGCCAATGGAGTGCTGGGGAGAGGGTTCCCTCGGCCGCTGTTGGGGGTCGCAGGACTCCCCCCACAACCCCGGCCTGGCCCCACTCCCTAAGAGGCTGAGGTGTGCAGTGAGGAGGGTGGAATTCACCTTGCGATCTCCCGATCTCTACATGGAGTCTACTCTGCTGTCCAGGACGCGGGGTGGGAGAGTGCTCACATTGTCCCGAAGCTGAGGGTGGGAAGGCCTTCTCCCTCGGCGAGGTGGCTTTCAGGTTCCGCAGAGCGCAGTGAGGGACCAGAGCTCCGAGCCGGGAGGAGGACTTGCTCGGCGGTGTTGGCGTGGAGTCTGTCTGCGTGAGCCTGATGGATGAATTGAAGGCTTGGGTCTTTCTCCATCGAAGGGCTACGCGTGGCCCACGGGAGGGCGTTGGAGTGTTGCCGGTCAGAACAGGAGCAGAGACCCATCTTGGGTGTTCTGCTGATGTGTAAACTGACCAGGGGAACGCAGAACTCGTGTACTTTGAACAGAGTTTGGTTGCCAGCACATGGTGGTTCTCACAGTTTGCAGGGCTGTGTGCTGGAAGACAGGGAAGGTCCGACTTTGGCCCCCGAGGAATGCGTTGTCTATAGACGGTGTGTTGAGGTCAGAGGTCCCTTGTAAGCTTAAAGAATTCAAGTGGTCCCAGGGTATGCTGCGTTAAGGGGAGTTTTCTTCTCCACTTAACAGCATTGCGTGCTATACATTTGTTCTGAATGAATTGGCTTACAAAGAAGGGCATTTTTATGTTTTCTCCTTTTAAGAGATTTATTTATTTGGAAAGCAGTTTCACAGAAAGAGGCCTTTAATCAGCTGATTTACTCACTATGCGCCTACAACATTCATGCTGGGCCAGGTGAAGGCAGGTGGCAGAAGCTCCATCTAGGTCTCCCACCTAAGGTGGCAGGGACCCACAGTCAAGAGCCTTCACTTACTGCCTTCCTAGGCACATTAGCAGGGAACTGGATTGGAGATGCAGCAGCTGAAACTTGACCTGACATTTTGATAAGCAATGTGAGTGTCCCAAGCAACAGCTTAACCTACAGTACCACCACTACACCCAGCCCAGCAAGTGTTTTTGTGTTTTCTTTTTTTTTTTAAGATGTACTTAATTATGCTTGAAAGGCGGATTTACAGAGAGAGGGAGAGTGAAAAATCTTCCTTCTCTTTACTGGGTCACTCCCCAAATGACTGCAATAGCCAAAACTATGAATGGATCTGAAGCCAGGAGTTTCCTCTGGGTCTCTCCTGTGGGTGCAGGGTCCCGAAGACTTGAGCCATGTTGTGCTACTTTCCCAGGTGGTGGGCAGGGAGCTGAGTGGGAAATGCAGCAGCCCGAGCATAAGTCAGACCCTGTGGGATGCTGGCATCTAGAGGTGAAGGATCAGCTTGTTGAACCATGGGGTTGGGGCTCCTGGCAAAGTGGGTTTTTTTTTTTTAAGATTTATTTATTTTTTCAATTGGAAACTCAGATATACGGACAAGAGGAGAGGCAGAGAAATATCTTTCATCCATTTTTCTCATTGGGAACTTGCAGCCCTGCCACCTGCCCGAGAGACCCGGTCGAGGGCATGGGCAGAGGGTCCGGCTCTTGCCTGTCTTTTCTCTGTCTCTTCCTGGCTTCCAAATAAGTAAAACCAACAAAAGTTAAGTGCAAATCATATTTGTTTTATAGTTTGTTGTGCATGAGCTTTTCTGTGGCAGGCTGCATGTGGCTGCAACTGCCAATCTGAACCCAGGAGATTGGAGCCTCTCCCGGGTCTCCCATGCAGGTGCAGGGTCCCAAGACTTTGGGCCATCCTCGACTGCTTTCCCAGGTCACAGGCAGGGAGCTGGATTGGAAGTGGGGCTGCCAGGATTAGAACCAGCGCCCATATGGGACATGTGCAAGGCGAGGACTTTAGATACTAGACTACAGTGCCAGGCCCATCTTGCAAGGCTTTAATAGTTGGTGTAGAGTGAGTCTTTCAAGGAAGGAGGTGTGGAAGAACTTGGTAAGAGTCCTGCAAAGCGTGGCCCCGCTTGTGCTGAGTATAGACAGGATAGTGCAGAGCGGTGGGGCGAATGTGAGCGCCTGAGATTTCAGTTGGCAGGGACAGGCTCGTGTGTGGCATTCCCTAACTTGGAGCTGTGCTGCCTGAGGCTTCCTCCTCCTCCTGCTAGTTCCAGCAGCGGAGAGCTTCTGGTGAGCTTCTGTGTAGGTTTCCCAAAAATGACAGCACATGCTTTTTCCAGTTACCCTCTCCTTCCGCTTGAATAGTGATGCTGCTAAGGACCTGAGTCCTAGAGCCCTTCCTGTGTGGGGGAGCTGCACACTTGTTAAATCTTGGGGTGTGGGTACTATGAAATCCGTGCCCTAAAGATAAGGTAAATAGAAAGGTTAAACTACTGAGGGTACTTTGCCAAGTTCAATGAAAATAGAATCAAAGACAAGTTTGTTTTTGTACCTTCCCCAAAATAGAAATATATGCTTCCCCCCCCCCCCATAACATCTGCTTGTCGTGAACTTTGGAGGGCCTGTCATGTGCACACCTTGAACTTCTTTTGTGCCAAAATAAACTTCCTAGCCAGGCGTTTGGTAGAGAGGTTATATGCTGCTTGGGGTGCTTGCATCCCACACTGAAGTTCCTTTTCTGCATCCTGGCCCAGCTCCTGATTGCGGTTCCTTAGGAACTTGCAGCCCTGCCACCTGCCCGAGAGACCCGGTGGAGGGCACTGGCGGAGGGTCGGGCGCTTGCCTGTCTTTTCTCTGTCTCTTCTGGGCTTCCAAATAAGTAAAACCAACAAAAGTTAAGTGCAAATCATATTTGTTTTATAGTTTGTTTTGCATGAGCTTTTCTGTGGCAGGTGCCATGCTGAGGCCTTAGCCCAGGCTCCCTGGTGCAGGAGTCTCACCCAGACCCTGCAGCTTTGTAAGTTTTTAACGGGGTAGCCTGTAAGATAGCATGGAAACCTCCATTGTAGTCCTTGTAAGTGCCCAGTTCGGGGTGGCAGGTGTGTTCACGTTGTTTTCATGACCGTCTGTCTGTGGAACTCTTAGCCTCAGACTGAAACTGGACCCCATCCCTGGCAGCCACAAGGATGCTTTCTTTCTCTGAGGAATTTTTAACTTTCTGTATTTACTGTTTTTATTTGGAAGAGACACAGAGAGAGTTCTATCTGCTGATCCCAAATGCCCGCAACAGCTGTGACTGTGGCCAGACTGAAGCCAGGAGCCCAAAACTCAGTCCAGGGGCAGGCATTGTGGTGTAGTGCATTAAGCTACTGCCTGGAATATCGTCAGTTTTGTGTCCTAGCTCTCCAATTCTGATTCAGTTCCCTGCTAAAGGCTTGGGAAAGCAGTGAAAGGTGGCTCCAAGAGGCTGGCCTTGGGTGAAGCACCTGGCTCCGCCCTGGCTGTTGCAGCCCTCCAGGAAGTGAACCAGTACATCTCCTCTGTAGCTCTTTCAGATACATGAATAAAAAATTATACATATAGATCTTTTACAAGAAAACCGCTCAGTCTTCATTCTGGGTCTCCAGTATCCCCATGGGACTGAAGGGCTTAGGTCATCCCCTGCAGCTTCCCAGGGTATACCTGAGCAGGGAGCCCGGACCTGATTCTGGGCGCTCCGATATAGGATGTGGACCCCCCCACACACACCCATGTCTGAATCTGAGGGCCCACTGAAGACCTCAAGTAAGGAGAGTCACATACAGTGTTTGCCTTTTGTGTCTGGCTCATTTCAGGTAGCTGCTCAGTGTTTGATTCATCCATGTGCTAATGGGAAAGAAGGAAAGTTGCCCTCTTTTTTTTTTTTTTTTTTTTAATATTTGTTTTTATTGTTAAGTCAGATTTACAGAAAGAAGGAGAGAAAAAGATCTCCTGTCTGCTGGTTCACTCCCCAAATGGCTGCAATGGTTGGAATTAAGCCAGTCCAAAACCAGGAGCTTCTTTCAGGTCTGCTATGCTGCAGGTGCAGGGTCCCAAGGATTTGGGCTGTCTTTTGACTGCTTTCCCAGGCCACAAGCAAGGAGCTGGATGGAAAGTGAAGCAGCTGGGACACGAACCAGTGCCCATATGGGATGCTAGGTGAGGATTTAGCCACTGGGCTATTGTGTCGGGCTCAGTTTTGGTTTTTTGTTTTGTTTTGTTTTTTAATTGGAAAGGAGATTTACAGAGTAAAGAAGAGACAGATCTTCCTTTCACTGATTGGCTTAGCTCTAGTCGGCAGCTATTTGGGAAGCAAATCTAGAGCCCAGAGCTTCTTCCAGGACTCCCATGTGAGTGCAGGGTCCCAAGTTTTTGGGTTGTCATCAACTGCCTTCCCAGGCCACAGGCAGGGAGCTGGATGGGAAGTGGAGCAGCCCCAGCATGAATCAGTAACCATATGGGCTGCTGGCTCTTTCGGGAGGATAATTAGCCAATTTACCCATCATGCCAGCCGCAAAAGTTTGTTCTAGAGCCGGAGAATATTTTATAGTTGGTACATACGCTACATTTGGTTGATCTTTTCAACCATATATGGACTTGGGAGTTTTACCACCTTTCAGCTGTCATTACCTCTGTTCTTAGTATATACCCAATTTCACTAAACTGCAAAACACAGGTGATTTTGTATTTGCATTTTCATCTCACAGATTTATTTATTTGAAAGGAGAGACAGTCTATCTTCTAGTTCACTCTGCTGCTGGCTGCAACAGCCAGAGCTAAGCCAGGCTAAAGCCAGGAGCTTCTTCCTCTCCCTCATGGGTGCAGGGGCCTGGGGACCATCCTCTGCGCTTTCCCAGGTGCCCTAGTGTGGAGCCGGATGTGTTTGCATTTTTTAGAGACCTTCAGTGTGCTTTTGAGAGCAGCGTAGAGGGAAGATGTTGGTGCTCAGATCTAAGAGTGGATTGGGTTAATACCCATTTCCTGACTATCTGCTTGGAAAGCTTTGGGCTGACTGAGGAAGTCTGCACAGACACTGATGTCCTTGTTGGGAGAGCAGGTTAGCTGCCTAATGATGATGTTCCTGCACATGGGGGAGCAGGTGCCATGAGCATCCAGTGTAAGTCAGAGGAGGGAGGGTCCACCTGGCACTGAATGAAGGAGGCGGCGGCTGAGGTGAGCTCAGTTTTGCAAGACCTCTCTTTGAGAGCCCAGGAACAGCCCTGGGGGAGGCTAGGAGTGAGGTGTCTTGCAATTATGTTCACTCTCTCTCTCTTTTTTTTAAATTTAAATTTTGAATTTTATGGTATAATTCTGTATAGTCCAGGATTCCCCTCTCCCTCAATTCCCACTCCCTGACTGATTTCCCCCATATTGTCGCAACAATACATTCCTTCATTCCTTCATAAGGAGTTACAATTCCATCAGTCTACTATTTAAGTGTGCCCCAACATTTCTGGTACAGACAATGTCAGACAGTCCATCATTCCATTGTCTCTGTATGCCCAACACTTTCAT